ACCAAAAACTACACAGAGAAACCCTGTCTCGAAAAACAAACAAACTGCGCTGTGCCACCTCTGTGACTGGGTTCTGAGCCTCAGAAATTCTTTCTTACGGGGTTGCTTTTGAGCTTCACACAGTTGAATCATGTGTTTCTGAAGGTGAGGAAGCCTCTGTCACACTCAGTGAAATTTGTTAGACAGATTGATGCTCACTGTTCTGACCGCATTGGTTCTGGAGATGGCTGGCTTTGCTGACTTCATTTGTTTTTCTTGAATAAGATAGGAATGCACGCACTGTATCATAGTGACAGGCTTTCTTTTTGGGCATCTTTTTGCCTTATATCTTAGGAAACATTTAGCTATGCTTAAAAAAATGCTTTCTTTAGTTACTCATGAATACCTCACTAAATTTAGGTTCATACTATCTTGCTTTTCTGTACATATGGGAATGTTTTTGGTAAATAACAAGACACCATAAGTCTTAAAAAGTTTTTATTAAAAAGGTATTTCTGTTTGTGTGTGCATGCGTGTGTACGTGCATGCATGTGCCATGTTGTGGGTGTGCAGGAGTCAGTTCTCTCTACCGTGTGGGCTCCAGGGACTGAGCGCATACAGTCAGGCGTGGCAGTAAGTACCCTTACCGACTGAATCAGCTTGCTGCTTAGAGAAGATATCTTAAATATCAGTTAATTAGCTGAGGCAGCATCAACGCCACAGGTAACTGGGCAGAAGGGACACATTAAGGCAAGCTAAGATAAAGTCACATGCAGTGTCTCCCAGGACAGAAAGCCAGCAGTTGTTGGAGCCCACTGAGAATAGGCTAACTCCCTGCTTCACAGATGTTAAAATGTGGAAATGTTGGGGAAGAGGCTGTCACAGAATCACCAGATGAATGCAGAGCTAAGAATAACATTTAAAGTGTTACTAAAAAGGAGCCAATGAATGGTTTGCATTTGAGGGAGAAATCACAGAAAAGACAAGGTCTTGATTTTTCCATCACAAAACAAGCATCCTTGACCAGAAGTACCTTTCATATAACTAGGAGAAATTTTGGTTCTAGGATGAGGGCTAAAGGATAAAAGAAATCATCTTAAAGCACTTTAAATGTACCACTCTCTAAATATATTTCATTTTCTACATGACTATAGTTTTAAGATTTTTTTCTATTATTAGTGATGCAGGAGCCATGTCTGAGCCTCTTTCATTTTTTAATTTTACAATATTTAATGCCATGTATCATTTAGGCATAAATATTATTTTAAAAAATAAATACAAATTTAGTTTGGGATATGGCTATAGTACAAGTGTGAGGCCCAGCATTTGAATCCTGGGACTCATGTAAAAAGAACCAACCGGGTAGTGTGCCTCTGTAATCCAAGTACTGCAGTGGGAGATGGGACGTAGAGACTAGAGAATTCCTGGAAATTCTCAGGACCAGTCACTGAGTGTACTCAGTGACAGGAGACCTTGCCTTATACAAAATGGAAGATCAAGACTGATACCCAAAGTTGCCCTCTGACCTTGCCACACACACTGTGGCAATTGAGTACCCACGCTTGAACACATACACACAGATATACATGCACACATACATAGAGAAAAAGATAAAATAAAGTAAGTGTCTAAAGGACTTCCCCTGAAGTTTTATTTAGTGTACAAAACCATTTAAAGCTATACCACTTCATATGGTAACTAGCCTTATTCTCATTTGATTGCTATGGAGAAATGGCATGTTAAATTATACCATAAAAGGGTTACTTGGAGGTACTATTCTTGATACTTCTCTGGGTTTACATTTATTTGAGGATTATCAAAATAGGAGTCCAGTGGGGGCTCTTCCTGCAGCTGGCTCTTACCCACTGGTGACCTTGACAAAGAAAGCAGCATACAGCCACAGCCTAAAACACTGGAGCTTCTGTGTGGTCCCCCAAATGGCAAACTAGAGGGGAGAGGGAAGCAGAAGCAAAGGGACCGTGGATTGCTTTACACTGAAATTGGTGGTTTGCCTATTCTGGGACATGTTTTTTCTTGAGTTTGGTCATGCAGCAAGGCCGTGGTCCAGTTCCTCGCAGGGCACCTCGTTGTCGTAGAAGCAAGGCAGTCCAATTTGTCAGAGTAACATTCCAAGAGGGGCTAAGGCAGGGGCTCAGGGAGAGGACTGAGGTTTGAGGTTCACACAGTGGGGAAGGGCCAAGACCTTGAGAAAAAGGAAAAGTCCAATTATCTAGAGTAGAGGAGACAAAGCCCCGGCCCCTGGCCCTGCGCAGGTGATCTCCAAGGACTGAAAGGGACTGTAGAGAAGGCAGAGTAAAGAAAAGGTGCATTTACACCCGTCCCTGCTTCCCGCCCTCCCACTCCACATGTGCTTTCCTTTGCCCTGGGCGGCTGTGGTATGAGAGTATGGACAATGACTTGAGAACTAGAGCCAAAGGACACATGCTTACTTCTCCTCTACAAGTCTTTAGTGAGAATTCCCCATGTTAATGTTGCGTTTCACTCTTGAAATATAAGGCAAATTATTAGTACGAATAAAGAATAAAAGCCTGGTGTATGCAGGTGGGTACATGTGTGCTTGGAGTGCTCATGAGGTCGGTGGGCTCAACACCAAAATGGTAGTTAGAATGGTTTATTTCCAGCTCCTCACATTTGAGTTTCTACTTTCTGAAAAGTTTTGTTTCATAATTTAGTAGGCAATTATGCTATTGGTTTAATCATGTATTATCACATCCAGTTTTATATAACAACTCTTTGTCACCAGCTCTTGTCTCATAAGCATTCTCTTTTGTTTTTGTATTTGATTTACACAGCAGCTTAGGCCCTCTAAATAATGTTTTATTAGTGATCTTTCTAAGTATTGTCACTATGTCTCATCATATTAAAGCAATATCTATGCTAAATACCTATGCATCGTTTTCTGCTCTGGTTGACCGTGGAACCTGGGAGAATAGAGCCTAAAAATAAGGCAGACTAAAAGTCTCACGCAGTAGCCAACGTCATCCAGAGCACCATACAGTTTATACTCTAAGGCAGTGGTTCTCAACCTTCCTAATGCTGCAACCCTTTAATACAGTTCCTTATGTTGTAGTGACCTCTAACCATAAAGTTATTTCATAACTGTAATTTTGCTACTGTTCTGAATCGTAATGTGAACATCTGATATGCAGGATATCTGATATGCGACCCCCAAAGGGGTCATGACCCACATGTTGAGAACTGCTCTGAGGGTTAAGAAGTGTCACATGAGTAAAGTGTACAATCACAAGTCAGGCTGTACACGGCTATGAAACATCAATAGCCAGTTGTAATGAATAATGTAAAGCAAGCTCACTCCTATGGGCTACACCCAGGAGGGACACAAAAGAAAGTTCCAAGAACAATTTCATGTTTTTGAAGATACTGAGCTCACAAGACTCTTGTCTTATTTTCTTGAAGTTTTCTTACAAGCACTCAGAATTCCCCTCCAAAGACTCCATTCTTGGGCTGTGTTCAGAAAACACGTGACATGGCTTTTTACTCGCTCTGCAAGTTGGCATCAGGAAAAGAAATTTTGTAGTAGTGCTTCTGTGCTGACCAAATACTGTCTACTTTTTTTTTCTAATAAGCTACGGTAGTTTGTTTATAAATATAGTGGCTTGTTTAGGTGATCAGTCTAAATGACACAGAAGCTGTTTTAATGCTGAAATGACCACAGAGTATATAGATACTAAATGGTATTCCAGGACTCACTCTTACACTCCGGAGGACTTTGTCAAAGGCTCCAAAAGCCACTTAGAAATGTCCTCACTGAGAGGGTTACTAAAGTCAATTTTAGACGTTAGTTCAGTGAAGTTTTGCTGGTAGTAGGAAGATGCTTTTGTAGCAACTGTTGGTTTATTATGTTACAGTGATTTGGAGTAGGGAGCAGTTTTAAGTCTTTAAGTTTCCCTTGAAAGGATTCTCAGGGTTGTTTCTTTCCTGATTAGCCTGGTGGCGTCTATTACAGGTAGATAGAAATGGGTCAGTGGAATCAGAAGTCTTGGTTTATTGCTCATGACAATCAGTGGGAAGCTCTCTGGTAGTTATATACAGAGTTTCAGCTTTGGTTTAAGAACCTACTCTATGTACCTAGAAGGAAGAACTTGCCAATGTGGAAGGAGCCTGAGCTGTATACTCATTGTGCATCAAGAGCGTGGTTCAGCTACCAATAGAACAGAGATGACTAGAGGCCAGGCTTTTGGGTAGGATTCCTAGGAAAGAGAGGAGGGGCAAGTGTCCTAATTTTCATGCCTCTAGGCCCTCTGCCATAAGGATCTTACCCAGTTATCCTTGAGATGCCTCATGGGAGCCTTTTCCTGGCACTTCCTGCCTTGTACACTTCACTTCTTGAAGCTGCCTTGGATGGTCCCTAGGGTGCTAGTGCAGTGTGCTACTGTCCTATGTGGTGATGCTGAGGTCCCCCTGCAGCACTGATGTTCCGAGAATCACAGCCTCCACATTTTATGGTGATGTCACACTTCCTCAGGTCTTTTCTGTAGCCCAGAACAGTAAAGACCTGTTCTTCCTAAGAAAAGTAGGGCTGATGGCATTTCTTTGTGTCATTTTTGTCACATGACACTGAAATGGGACTAGATGGGCCCTTATAGCCCCCAAATCACTCTTGAAACTTTTGTTAGCTTTTGTTACAGCCCAAGCAGCTGAAATGCCAGGATCTTCTCTCCATCCCAGCTGCCCCCCTGGTATCTAGGCATTCTGTCCGTGCCAGATCCCCTTCAGCAGAGTGTAAGGCAAACGGCATGACATTCCTGGTGGTCTGAGGCACCGATCATTAAACAGGAATGCAGTGCATATAGAAACTATTGGTTATTCCGTTCCTGGCATAGGGCAAAGCACTTCTCACTACCACCTCGTTCAGTCACTGAGTCCTTGGAGGAGGTTGTCAAGAATTAGCAGCCCATCACCTGAAAACCCTGTTAACAGTCAAAAGGCCACTCGGCTCACTGTCATTTGTGTACCAATTCCATGGCTTTTGCATGCAGGGCTGGGAAGAAACAGTGGATGCCGCCATTGCCCACCTATTGAAAACCTGCCTGTCGAAGAGTTCCAAGGAGCAGGCTTTGAACCTCAGCAGCCAGCTGAACATACCCAAAGACACCAGCCGGCTGAAGAAGCACATCACCTTGCTGTGTGACAGATTAGCTAAAGGTGGGCGCCTCTGCCTGAGTACCGATGCTGCAGCCCCGCAGGCCATGGTCATGCCAGGTAAGAATCCTGTGTACCCTCCCGAAGGACAGTGCTCTCCCCAATTACAGGAATGTGCCTGCAGCTGTGTTTGGGTTTAAATTTCATATTAAAGTGATGATAGCCAAGAAAATTGCTTTCACGTTTCCCCTCACATATCCTAGGGTAACCACGTGGATAAATATTCTCCGGGTATTTGCTTGCTAAACATTTCTAGAACGGTATGTCTTTTTCCCCCTTGTCTCTGCCTTTAAATATATGATCCATTTTGTTTTGCTTCTAACCAATAAAAAGAGGATTAGAGAATAAAAGTGTTTTTAAGGAAAAGTTTTACCAAATGTGATCTCAAGATACTGCATTTCATGAATGTAAATAACATGATACAAGAAACTAATGTGATCCAGATGAGCTAGATCCCTTCTGCTGTTTCCCTGGACTGTGTTCGTTGGAGTAAGGGGCAAGAGTCCAGGGGAGAGACCCAGGATCAGAGAGGTGAACGGGCAGGCGTCAGGATCAAGGCATCTGTGGGTCAAGGTGGGGAAAGTGACCCAGGTTGGCCCCGTGTGGTCCTTCATGGAGGGTCCAGACATCTAGACTTGGCTTCCCACAGTCTGGGTCTGAGTGGCCAGTCACGCTGCACTCAGGTCCCTCAGAAGCTCCCAGCCCTATGTCCCATCCTAGCCCTTCTATGGCAGCTCACAGAGCAGGCCAGCAGTGAGGTTGTGAGACACTGTAGCTGCGGCATGCTTTTACTAAAGCAGACACCACAGTTTGGGAAGTGCCGTGATTCTCTTCTTTCATGTATGGCTTTTGTCCCCTGCTCTGGGCTGATTTCTTTGCTGTTGCCTTCCTTCTCCCTTAAATAGAATGCCTAGAAGTAAGAGGGATTCAGGTGAACTCTTCACAGGATAAGCATGGAGGCTGCACACACAATCTAATAAGCCCAGGCTCCAGGGGCAGACACACCAGTGTTTGGATCTTGCCTCTACCCCTTTCGGCTCCACTGTCCTTGTGTGTTGCTTTCCAATCCTGCTGTCTCTAGATCAGTGGTTCTCAACCCGTGGGTCGCAACCCCTTTGGGGCCACATAGCAGATATTTATATTACAATTCACAGCAGTAGCAAAATTACAGTTGTGAAGTAGCAATGAAATAATTTTATGGTTGGGGGTCATCACGACATGAGGATCTGTGTTAAAAGGGTTGCAGCATTAGGAAGGTTGAGAACCACTGGCCTAGATGGTAAGACTAATGATCCTTGCCTTGCTGCCAGGGCTTTCTGTGTTTGTAAAGCACTTAGCACCATGCTTGAAATAGAAGCTATAGTTAGTACTGTTGTTGTAGGTATGTATGACCCATCCCCTAAATCCAGCAATGAGAAAACATCTGGCTTGTGTTCCAGGATGCTGTTTGATTATTTGAAATTTTTTTTACTACAACTACATATAGAACCCAACTCTTACTTCTAAGGAATATTTCTCAGCTGCCTGTTAGGCAGTTCTCATGTGATTTGATTCCCATGGGCCTCCTCATCCTCTTGTCTCACTCTCGACTTCCTCTTGACCTTCTCTCTGTCCTGTCTGCCTTCAAGGAGTGTCTTCCTAAGAAAGGCTCCATGATGTAGGACCTGAAAGCTCTTTCTTCTGATTGGCTCACAGTGTGTAGCCATCTCTTCATGCCTGTTGCTGGGTCCTAACGGCTCCCTCAGGGGAGGGGATGAGAAGACATGGTGTCAACAATACAGACACCAGGAGTTTGGTAAAAAGCAGACAGCAGACGTGTTTATTCAGTAATGGGGAAGGCCTTATATACCCTCCTCCCAGCACCCAGGCTGTGTCCTGATCTGGTGACATTGTATGGTTGTCCCTCATTGGCTGGGCATGATCAGGAACTCTGACGGTGCCTGTTGCTAGGCCCTTGGGCAGACTCCAGGTTGGCTCATAAGGAGTACGTTATGCGCATGCCTTGGCAGCTGGTTTGAGCCCATTTCCTTGACCTTATGGGCCTGTCCTAGTACACATGCCTACCTACAGGAAAAGAAGTGGGGTTTCTGGAGGGAGGGGGTGGAATGGGCTTAGCACACTTGATCCTGGGCATAATGATCCATGTTAATTGTCAACTTGACAGGATCTAGACTCACCTCAGAGACCAGCTTCTGGGCATGTCTGTGCCAAGTACCTTGATGTAGGAAGTCTCATCATAACCCTGGGCTGGGCCATTCCCTCTGCATGGACTATGCAGAATGGGAAAGCAAGCCAAGTATTAGTACTCATTCCTTTGTTCCCGGCTCCAGACTCCATGTGACCAGATGTATTAAGCTCCTGTCGCTCTTCCTTCCCCGCTATGATTGACTATACCCTTGAACACTAAGCCAGAAGAAGCCCTTTCTTTCCCATGTTTTTTTTTTGGGGGGGGACAGGACATTTTTATCACATCGACAGGAAAAGAAAGAAACTAAGAAAGTGGTCTCCAGTCAGTTGAGGTGGTTGCCCAGGCCTTTCTATGGACCCCAATCTAAGCCTGATTGGGAACAGAAGCCCAGAGTCTCCTTTAATCACACTTAGTGGTCATGGAACTTGGGCCATTTTTCTTCAAGTAACTGAGCAACCGGAAGTTTGTTTGTATATCTAGGATTTGGAATATCCAAGCTGTCAGTGTAAAAACTTCATATATGTGGACGGCAGAGACAGAAGAAGGGAGAAGGGGGTGGAAGAAATAAAGAAAAAGAGGGAGGAAGACAAGAATCACGTTTGTTCACAGCCTCGGAGCATGAGCCAGGCTGTGCCCCTCATGTGTGTCTAGCTGGGCACTTTCCCTGGAAACATGGTAGCTGAGTGTGCTAGAGTCTTGCTCTCCGTCCTCCCATTAGCTCTTACCTGCTGGTGACCCTCCCTCCTGCACTGTGGATCTAATTGTGAGTAATTGTGAACAGCTGTGCCCTGTCCTTTCTCATCGTGGTGCTCACTAGCACCTGGGATAGTTTCCGCCCACAACTCTGAATTTTCGCACACTTTGTTCTGGTACTTAGCTCCTTCTTGAGGGAGATGAGACTTGTCCATTGTTCCTCTGTTTCAAACAGAAAGCAGAAGCAGGAGAAATAATCTTGCCCAGAGGTAACCCAGTTCCTGGAAGTGTTAAGTGTAGAATCCAGACCTCCAGGCCAGCTGTGCCTTGCTCTAGAGCACACAGACCACAGCAGTACAAATGCACTTTCTCCAGAGCCCGCTCTGGTGTGAGCTGCTCTCCATGTGGCCGATCTCTTCAGCTGCTCCAGTAGCGTGGGTGGAAGAGGCCACGACATAGCGTCTCCCAGTCTCCTTCCTTCTCTATGAGGACAGAGCTCCCCAGTAAAGATGAGCATGTATTTGTTTGTGCTTAACTTTTCTTCTCTCCCTAGGTGGCATGATACTAATATCACAGAAATAGTAGGAAAGACCGTGAGTTTTCTGCTTCCAATCTAGAACTGTGCAACTCACAATGGCAGTATAGCTGTAATAGTTGACTCAGTATACAAGGGTGCACTGGTGTGTTAGCATAAACAAGGGTATGGGGGAGTGTTAGAACCTACACGGTTGGAGGGAGTGTTGTTAGATTCTGCAAGGCTGCGGTGGGTTGGAATGGAGTGGATTAATGAACACATAGGCAGACAGGCAGCCTTTTTCACAGACACAATCTTATTTTAAGACTTAGACTGGAACTTAGCAATCGTTTGGTTCACCTCCCTCACTTAACAGCTGAGGTAACCAGGGCCTGAGAAGTCAGTGACTAAGTATTTTAAGTATTAAAAGTCAGGAGTGTGTGTAATTTTACCATGCTCCCTATTAAAGTGCAGATGGATAAACATCTCCGAATAAAAACCCTATGGTCTCTTCTAGCCTCACGACTTTATGAGCCCGGCGCTCTGGATGTGCCCTTTCAATGGTTCCAGTGAAGGCCATGATGAGAACATCCTCCCAGGGGGCCAGAGTTTGACAATCTTCTCTCACTCGGAATGACCTTATGGCCTTCTTTTTAAAAACTTCTTTTATTTTTGAGATTATGATGTAATTATATTATGTCCCCCTTTTTTTCCTCCCTCTAAACCCTCCTATACCTTTCTTTGTTCTCTTACAAATTCATGACCTTTTAAATTAATTGGTGTGTGTGTGTGTGTGTGTGTGTGTGTGTGTGTGTGTGTGTGTGTGTGTTCCTAAACACATAAATACAACCTACTTAGTATAGTGTTGCTCTGTGTTGTCAGGGCTGACCGTTTGGTGTTAGAGAACCAAATGGCGAGCTCTTTCCTAGGGAAGATTATTTCTCCTACCTCAGCATTCTTTTAGCTGCCTGTGGTTCTTTTATTATTATTTCTTTTATTTTTGAATTATAATTATATTATTTATCCCTTCCCCTTTCCCCCTCCAAACCCTTCCATCTGCCCCTCCTTGCTCTCTTTCAAATTCATTGCCTCTTTTTTCATTGTTGTTCTGCACATATACGTATATCCATATCCATATATTCCTAAATATAACCTTTTTAGTCTATGTAATATTACTTTTGCATATCTATATTCTAGGCCGACCATTTGATATTAGATAACTAACTGGGGTGCTCTTTCCTGGGGAAGACTGTTTCTCCCACGCTTGGCATTCCTTAGTTGCCTGTAGTTCTTGGTGTGGGTGGAGGCCTTGGGGTGTATCCCCATCCACTGTGGTTTGTCTATTGCTGCTTCTTGTCCAGCTCAGGTTTACTGAACCATGTTGGTGAGACTTCATGGATGGACTTCTGACATCACTAGGAGACACCCTCTCCAGAAAGCCCCTTGGTCCTGCCTCTTAACAGTCTTTCTGCCCCTTCTTCCTCAACGATCCCTGGACCGTGGGTGCAGGAGTTGTACTGCAGGTGTATCCTTTGGGACTGGGCTCCATGACTCTAGTCAGATGTAAAGAAAACTGGACACCTGAAATTTTCAGATAAATAGATGGAACTAGAAGAGACCACATGGAGTTAGGTAGCCTAGACCGAGAAAAGCAATGTCACACAT